ATCTGTAAAATCATCCTATGCATATGCATGAGTTAGAATATAGGTTCACAATAAATGGTAAGAGCGTACAGAGAACTTGTTTTAAAACAAGGCAGCCTCTTTGAACAGCCAAATTAAATTACAGCTGAACTCTTGAGTGTACTGACGGATCTAATAAGCAACAAATAAAGACTTTTATTGGCTAGCAACATAATGAGAGTTACTGTGTGAAAGATGAAAAAAAGACAAATCTGGGTAGTTTATCTCATTGGATTATACTATTTACTTAAATGGTAAATAAGTTTGTCCAAAGTAATGCTACTAAAAACTAGTATGTAAATATTAAAGAGCAATTATGATCAATGACTCTTTAATGTAAACATATCGCAAATTCCAGTGGAAAGATTGATAAACAAATGTGAAATTAAACAACAAATATTGAACTTAATACCACTTAAGTTCTATTTCTTTACATTTAACTTACTTATTTATTCCTAATGTATCAGCTTTATAAATGGTTTACTATTTTATGCTTATAAACGCAGCTTTTATTCTAAAGGAGTTTTCTTTCTGGAGTACGGCAGTTGTACGTAGAACTCCTTCAAAACCATTATTTACAAAAAGGAGGTTGTCCTTAATGAAATAAAGAAGGTATTCCCCTCCTCAGTGATTTGGTAGGAAGTTACTTTTAATAGAACTTTGAAGAGTGGCCTCCTTACAGAACTCCCTAAGTTGGCAAACCAAACAGTATTTAGCAAACCAAATCAGATTTAAAGCGTATTTGGTGCATTTTGCTTGATCCTCAAATCACATAAAAGGTAGAACCCTAGAATCCTTAGCTGACTACTTAACTATTCTTGTATAAAGTTCTGGTGCTTTTGTCACAGCTTAAAAAAAAAAAAATAACAAACAAAAAAACCCAATAGCACCTCCAAGTCTAAACACTAAGCCAGTATTTATTATCTACTCTTTTTCTATAACATTGTGACTGCCAGAGTGATTTCTCTTAACCTTAAGTATATCTAATAAAATCATAAGGCTCCCTCTAGCTCTTCAGAGAGGAGTTTACTAACCAATGATCCTATATAATTCCCATCCAACAGAAAAGATTTGAGGAGGCTGCCTCCCCTCACAAAAGAAATGTTTTCAACTGTTTCTTACAAGGGTGTAGATGGTATAGGAGACCATCTGCAGAGGAATTCACAAAGCACTGCTCCTTATATCCACAGTAACTTAACCTATTAATTGCTTCCAACCTAAGCTTTGTATAGAAAATTCTGAAGTAAAACTTTGAGCTGTTTAAACTACGTATACATTCCCAACTTAGATTTATCAAGCTAGTTAAAATTAATTTTCATCTCAAAAAACAAATAACAACAGGTATGAATAGCTACGGAAATCCAAACTCGTGATCCGGTCTCAGTTCTAAAAACCTACATTTAAAGGCAGAATCTTGAAATTCAAAAAAAAAAAAAAAAAAAAGTATTAACACTGAATCTGTGGACTTTACATAAAAGATGCTGATGGTATTTGCAGAAAACATCTCCATGTACCATAGTATTTACACACAACACTGGTAATGACTTTCCTAATTGTTTAATCTTTTCTGCACTTCAGTATTGGATATTTTAGGATGGCAGTTATTTAGAAGACTAAAAATAATACAGATGAAGTACACCATTGATATTTAGTCTATCTTAAGATAGTCATAAAAGCCACATAGTCGACGGGCAAATCATTTCAAACAAGTGAATATGAAAAATGCTAAACTGAAAAAAAAATGCTAAAATGAACTCCACACACTCACAAAGGCCATCTTTCACATACTTAAGGAATACTTAAAATGATGCTGAACCTTAACTATAAAATGAAAAATAAAGGGAACCACGAACTTCAAGTCATCACCTATTCCTGTCTCCCTTAATATAAGAAATATTCCCAGGAACAACAAAAAGAATAGCTCCTTCCACCCCCAACCCCCGCCCCTTTTTGAGCCAGTGTCCAATTTCTTCTTTTCTGAACAGCTGTATTATCCAACTTAAGTTGCTCTGCTAATTTCAGTCCCACAAGGACTAACTTGGAAGGCAAAAAAATACAAGAAAAGATCAATTTGCTGGGAAAGATCAAATGAGAAAACTGTGGGGACAGCACCAGGTCAGCGTGTGGAGAACTAAGCAGACCTGTTCTTCATTAACTGTGGCTCTCTGGGGATGTCACACACTACCTGTCCGTGGGCTTTATTGAACCGCCTAACCCGCCTCTCTGTTCCATTCTTCTGGGCCCAAGTGAATCATATCCTGCTGCTGACAAGTTAGCAGGGGACTGCGGCTGCAACATGAAAGTACTTTTCTTTCTTGTCTAAATCAGGCAGATTTTTGAAAAGACGACACAGCATTGACTCGTGACATGGCAAGATGAAACGAGAGGTCTGGGCCAGTCTTGGAGCTGTGCAGATAAAAGTAATCAAATGACACTCCTGGAATGCAAATTGGCATTCTTGACTGCAGCAATTGCACAACCATGAAACATCCCTGACAGCAAGCAAGATTAGGACAAAATGTTATGTAAAGCACTGAACTCAAAAACTCTCACTTGAAAATTCAAACTGTAACACTTACATTTTAATATAGCAATAGTCAGCTCTGCTTTTGTCTGCTGCTTTTTGTAACCACATATCCCTGCCTGACAGATCTCTTACATTCCAGGTAGAAAAAAAAAAAAATTAGGTATTGGGAATGTATAACTGCTATTAATGTTTTCTCTATATTTATTTTTTAAAATCACAGGCGGTTGGTTCTTGTTCAAAGTTTTACACGCAAACAACACCGAACTTAATATTCTCCAGGGGCAAGAGAAGGCCGTTTCAGACTTTTCTCACAAGATACTCAAAGAGAGTTCACATTCAGGTTCAGTATTATTTCCCTCAGGTGAAGATACTCTTGTACTTTGGTAGAGTGATTAGCAATCTGGATTTCAAATACTCTGCTCTCCGGGAACAGAAAAGAGTAGCTACAACTAAGAACTTCATTAAGGCTGAACAGTTTAAATGAAACAGCTACAAATATAACATAAAACACAGATACCCTATAAAGGTTCACAAGGGATTTTGTGTGTGTGTGCGCGAGTCCAAAGGGTAAAAAAGGAAGTTCTATTAACTTGTACAAGGTCTCACTATTCTTGAGTACATGTTCAAATCAGACACACTAAATGCCAGTGCCAGAAATAAATTCTTCCAGTTAAAACATGTTATGTGTGCGCACGGTGAACATCTGAAAACGCAGGATACAAAGCAGTGGCTCACAAATGGATTCAGGCACTTTTCAAAATGATTAGTATTTGGGAATAGAAGTGTAGACAAATAGTATATAGGCTGGGGGAAAGGAAAGAAAAATTGTACCCACGACGGGCTTTTACATTGTTCCTGCGTCAGATGTCCCAGGAAGAAAAACTCAAGTACTGGCCAGATATATTTAATATTTTGTTTTGACGCCTCCACTTAAAACACAGGTTCCAACCATCGCAACCGTCCACGAAGTACATAAAAAATAAGAAGACAGGCCACTTTCTGCCACTTTAATCCTGGGTACACAGGATTATTTTATGATGTCTTTCGTACATCAGCTTTACAACTGCTTGACTCTAGGGTAAATGGGAACCACTATAAATCGCACGCTGCTTTCAAAACCACTTTAATTTCTGTCAGCGTTACTGTAACCACAGTCATGGGCGCACGCTACTTTTGTGTGAGTGTGTGTGCGCGCGCCTGCATTTGACAGTCGCATCTCCTACACTCCAGTTGTGACTTTGATCACTGAAACAAGAGATGTCACATTAGGGGGAAGGGAAGAGAAGGGGGGTAAAAACGCCAACCCGCTATCTCTTTTTTTTCCCTGCTTATTTCAGCTACACGCAGAACACGGTATATCAGATCCCCCGCGGGGGTGCGGGGGGACAATAGCAGCACTGGGTGGAAGCAAACTAAAGGGAAGGGAGTGGTCCAACCCCATTTCTAACAAATCACTTCCCCGAAAGCGGACAGAGCGCTCATCACCCGGCGAACTCCCTGCACGCTGCCTCGCTGCAGAGAATCCGCTTCGAGGAGAGGAGCTGTGCTCGAATCTCGCCTTCCCACCTCGTCTGCCACTTGCACTTGGAACTTTTCTTAGCCTCGCGACACGGGGGACCTCCTCCAGTTTTATTTTCTCCGTGTGTGTGTGTGTGTGGGTGTCTTAATTCTGCCCCCTCCCCGGGCCCCAGATGCCACCCTGCAGTCGCTGTGTAAGTAAAAAAACAAATGGGCTCCTTGAAAACTGCACCTCACAGATCTGTCTCGGGTTTATTTTCCTGCCCCACGTTACGCACATTCCTCAGAAAGCCTCCAGGAGCACCTTCCTACGTCGTCTTCACGTACAAAGAGAGGGTTCCCGAAGGCCGGGGCGAGGGGAGGGGAAACGCCAAGGTGCCGGGACCCGGCGGCCGCGTCCTCGCGGCGCGGCGCACCAGCGCGCCCCGGCGCCCACGCCCAGCCGCCCGGCCCTCACTCGCGGGCAAGTTTTAAAAGTTACCGTTGTCCAAAACGCTTCCCTCTCCGCCCCGAACTCCCTCCAGCGCTCCATTCATCCCGCGCCTCCCCTCCACCCCGTCCGCCCCAGTCCGTCCCAACTCCCTGGAGCCTCTCTCGCTCGCCGGCCGCTCACCTTTCCTCGCCCGCCGCGAGAGGGGGCGAACTTCCGAGCCCCTCGCTCTCTCCTTACACACACACACACACACACACACACACACCACACACACCCCTCCCACCCCGCAGCTCTCCTCACAAACTTGGGCCAAGTTGAGGGGAAATTTCGGGAGCGCGGCAGGGGCCAGGTCGGGCTGGGGCTCTCCCCGCCCGCCCCCCTCCACCTCCAGCCGCGGGACCTGAGGAAAACACGGCCCCCGGGCGGCCCCGGGGGCGCGCGGGCGCGGGGCTCGCGTCTGACGAAGTCTAGAATAAAAAGGAAAGGAGGGTGGAAACTTCTTACCATCTCGGCATGCTGGTTGTCAAGTGCAGCCCCCGCCTCTTGGTCTCCTCTTAGCGGCCGCGCCTGGACCAGCCCCTCGGCCGCCTCTCGCTCCTTCTGTCTCGGCCTTTCTTTCCCTCCCCCTCCCGATTTCCTCCGGGCCGCCGCTCTCGCCGCCTCCGCCTCTCCCCGCCCGCCCGCCCGCGCGCGCCCTCGCCGCGGCCCCTCTGCGCTCAGGTGACTGATTTACACACGCGCCCAGGGTCGCCCTCGCTCTCCAAGTCGGAGCCTGCAGAGTTCCCCCGGCTCCTCGGGACAAAAAAAAAAAAAAAAAAAAAAAGGAACGGACTGTCCCAGGAGGGGGCTGCTGCTGCTGCTGCGGGGGGCGGGGGAGAGATCGGCGGGCGAGGTGACCTGGGGCGGGTTTGCAAGCCCCACAAGTTTCTCCTCTCTGCAAAACTGTCGTGACTACAATGTTGCTTCCCTTTTGCAAAATAGAAGTGGGTTAGTTTTGCTGTTGTTTGTCCTCAGATTCTAGGGGTTTCGTGAGGGAGGATGTATATTTCGCCTCCCCCCCCCTTCCCTGTAACTGTTCGCCCGGCTCCTTGCGGGGATGGAAAAACAACTTTGGCGCCCCCCGGGGGGTGCGGGCGTGGAGGTGGAGGTGGCTGCCGGCGCCCAGCTGTCAAAGACAGAAACCCCGAGGAAAGGGCGCGAACTTTATTCCGACTGCAGCAAGCCGTGGCGTCGCTTTCCTTTTCGGGCGCTCGCCGGTCGGTGTCCCCTCTGACCAGTTCCTCCTCCCGCACCGCCGCCGCCGCCGCCGCCCCCTCTCCTTTCCCCCTTCCCCTTTTTCTCTTCCGCCGAGGCGGCCCCGGCGCCCCCCGCCCCCGTCAGCCCAGGTCCTCCGCGCGCCGCTGGACGGAAGGTGAGGGAAGCGGAGGAAAACCCAGGGGACACAAACTCGGGACAGAACGTGCCGGCCGACAAGGCAGAAAAGTTGCGCGCAGCCACGGGGGGAAAGTTCCTGGTGGCGGCGTGTTTCGTGCCGGCCCAGACGTCGGCTTGCGGCGAGGGCTTCCTTCCCCTTCCCCTGGTCTGGGCCTCGGGCTGGAGACGGCCCGGGGAGAGGGAGGGGACCGCCGCCTCCGCGACGCAAGACCAGCCACATATGTGGGTGACACTCGGCCGACCCGCGTCGCCCTGCCCCGGAGACGCAAAAACGCACACGCCTGCAGCTGAAGGGCGTTTCTTCAATGCGGGCAAAGCACCCTCCCCGGCCGGCCGCAAGAGTGGGGGTGGGGGCGAGTTGAATCACCCTCCGCTTTCTAAGGTACATTTTATGCCAAAAAACAATCCCCGTGTTGTGCAGATTGATCATAGCTAGAGCAAACTTTCTGCTTATCTGACATGGAAGGAAGGCACAGGTTTCGGGCATATTCCCTGAGCACTCACTAGAAATCGGCATCGTCGAGGACTTGTGGCGGAACAGGTTTGAATCATCCCTCCTTCCTTTCTGCCTTCCCCGAAGTAGAGGGGCAGAGAAACTGCTTCCTTGCGTCCAGAGGTCAGAACGTAATTCCTTTGAAAATACGTAGCCGTGGAATTACATACTTCTAGTTTCTTCGATGCACAGTCTGGTCTTCGGTTTAATATAAATTTTCACAATAATTGAAAAGAATATTTGGGAGGCATGGTGAGAGACTATGGCCCAAGTAGCCACAGCTGTTCTGAAAAAATGTGATTAGGCTTATTATTCACGTGGATCGTGCTTTTTATCAGTGCGGCTCCGCACCTGCAGTTCAGTGGCTTGATGAGGTCCAAATTTCTGACCGTTTTTAGGCCCTTGGAGAGCAGATTTCAACTCGTTTCTGTATTTGTATAATTCTCTGCATCATCTTGTTGTGGAAAGGTCTGTCTGGTAAATCTTCTACTATATTATTTATAGTAAATACCTTCTAGAATTCTAGGCACATGGTTCATCTAGAGGTTTCTAGTGGGAGACAGATTACTTCTCTAGAGCATAAATCAAAGTAAAGACTATCTAATGACTACGCATATATATAAATGCATGTTCTCTAAGAAGGCTCATCTTTAAATGATTTGATTAAGGTGTGGAGCATGTTCCCTTATTCTGTAAACATCACTGTAACATCATCCTATAGTTTGTAGAAACTGATTACACAAGGGATAATGACGACCAAATGTGCATTCTGAGCAACTGAGGATCATCAACAAGAATTCTCCAGAAATGAGCCAAGTTCCAATGTGTTTTCCTGTATCATGGAGAGAGGAGAAAAGCGAGTTGCTAATTTCAGAGTCATTACCCATACAAATCCATTCACACACTTACCGCTTTGGACAACTGACAGACCAGCAATTGCCAAACAATCGTATTCACACTGCATTTTTGGCTGTGCACCTACACTGGCCAACAGCAGAAGTTATTCTACATCAAGTAACCTGTAATTTACATTCCCCTGATTGGTTCCAGATCTGTCTGTTTTTGATGTTAGCATACAAACAATTTATGAGGCAAGATGTGTCTATTTGGGATCCAGTGCTTTTCTAGAGAGTCCTCATTTTAAAGATGTGTTGGGCTGAAACAGCAGCCCTTGGAGAAGGTGGAAGAATTTACAGAAGCAAAGATACAGAGAACTCCACAGCCTCTTATTTCCTACAGTGCGTTTGTATGGCAATTGGAATACAACCTTAACTCTCTTTTGTGTCCTGCAAGACTTTAATGATCCACACGTGCTGGGCTTTTCAGCTGTTCTCTTCCGGTTTTTAATCCTCTCCTGACCACACGAAAGTCACACTGGCTCTGTCCACCTTGCCAAGCTCTTTCCTGCTCTTTGCCCTGCTATGCTCTCCACTTGGAATATTCTCCTGCGTTTTCCAGTGGTTCCTTCACATCCGTCACATCTCAGCTCTCACTTTACCTGTTTAGATTCTAATTAAACTAGCTCTTTGCTGTCTTCCTGAAACACCCCTCACACTTTCTCCCATACTTATTTTCTTTATGTGCCTTAGAAGTACCTGAAATTGTCTTGTTTGTGTGCTTATTATTTTCCTGCAACTAAAACGTGAGTTCCGTGAGTGCAAGAGCTGCATTGACCTTGTTGGCTTACATAGCGTTGGTCCGTATAACAGTGCCAGGCACAAAATAAGCTCTTAGAAATATTGTTTGAATTAAGGAAAAAATGTCACAATCATTACACTGTATTGATGATGACCTTAGGGCCAGACAAGTTCACTCTAGAAATACAAGGGGGGAAAAGTGCCATATCTGTTCTCTTGGGGGTGGAGTAAAAACTGTTGACTTCCGGTACCAAGGATCTTCAAAGTCTGGTGTGGGGCAACCCTGGGGTCTCCAAGACCCTTTTAGAAGGGCCACGGGGTCAAAACTATTTTTGTTATATACTGAGCGATTCTTTGCTTTCTCATTCACATTGTCAAATGTACAGAATTTCCCAAAGGCAACGTGATGTGTGATATCCAACGAATTGAATGCAGATGCAGAAACAAAAAATCTACCCATCTTGTTATATCAGACATTGAAGAGATTTGCCAAAAAAATGTAAATCAGTGCCACTCTTCTCATTTTTTGTTCTGGAAAACAGTTATTTTCATTTTCAAACATGGGTATGTATTCATTTCCTACTGCTGCTGTAACAAATTACCACAAATTTAGTGGCTTCAAACAACACAAATTTATAATTCTAGAGGTCAGAAGTCTGAAATGGGTTTCATTAAGCTGAAATCAAGGTGTCTGCATGCCTGTTTTCCTTTCTGGAGACCAAAGGGGAGAATCCTTTCCCTTACCTTGTCCGGCTTCTAGTTGAGGCCACCCACATTCCTTGGTCCCTGGTACCATTACATCTCTAAAGCCTCTGTTAGCTAGACGTGTCTTTCTTATCTGCTCACTCAGCCTCCTTCTTTCACTTATAGCTACCCTTGTGATTATATTGGGCCCATTTGGATAATCCAGCATAGCCTGCCCATCTCAAGACCCATCCTAAGATCCATGTCAACATCAAGTTAGTCATATCTGAACATATTCACAGGTACCTGAGCTTAGGATGTGCACCATTATGAGGAACCTTCATTCCACCTACCACAGCATAGAAACAAATGATCGGCCTATTATTTTAATTAAATTAATAACAATTTTCGGAATTTTAAATTTGTGATACAATTACCCATTGCTCACATAAACCAAATTTCCTTGCAGTCCTCAATAATTTAAGAGGTCATGAGACCAGGGGACACCTGACTGGTTCAGTCAGTTAAGTGACTGACTCTCAATTTCTGCTCAGGTCATGATCTCACGGTTCCTGAGTTTAGGCCTTGCATTCGGCACTGCGCTGACAGCACGGAAACTGCTTGGGATTCTCTCTCTCCCTTCTCCCTCTCTCCCTGCCCTTTCCCCACTCTCTCTCAAAATAAATAAAAAACTTAAAAAAAAAAAAGGACATGAGACCAAACAGTTGGAGAATAGCAGAATAGCTGCACAATAGCTATTTTCCCTTCTTCCATGTCTCAAGTTAGACTAGACGGTACTGAACTGATTATCCTTGCCCTGTGTCCTCTGCTATGATTGGTTTAAGGACAGGCATGTTACTTAGTTCTGACTAATGAAGAATGAACGGAAGTCTTGAGGGGCTTGGAGATAGGATCTTTTATTCACTAAAACAGAAAGACTGGCAAGAAATAAACTGTCCCCATTCTGCTTTGAATGTCAGTATGTGAGAACGTGGCCCCTGAAACAGCTGCATCCGACTTGTGACGCGGTGGGAGTACACACACCAGGGATGACAAGGTAGGGAGGTGGCAAGCACGTGAGCTCTTGATGTTGTTTTTTATTTGCTAAATTAACCAACGCCAGGTAGCTTAGAACTCCTTGAGATGTGTTATAATTAATCCCTTCATCATTTAGGCTGCTTTAACATCGCTTTTCTATTACTTGCAGCTTACAGCTTCCAAAATAAAAATAGCATGTCTGTGTCATGCTTTTGTGCAGGAGTTCCTTGCTGGCATTTTCTATCAAATTTATATATTTTTTCTACATTCTGAGAAAAATCTGT